CCCCTCCCCCACCCCCCCCCCAGCCTAATTAGAGACAAGGATCAGTTCAGCAGAGAGAAGTTGGTTGCCTGGGAACATTTGTGGATGGCAGCAGTGAACTGCTGAGTCGGTATAATGGGAATGCGTCCCCGTCGGAGCGTGCAACCTCCTCTCTGGCAAGCGGGGCGGTCGGGGTGTGTGTGTGTGTGTGTTGGGGGGTGGGTGATGAGGGAGCAAACTCACTGGTTTCTGTTGGGAGTTTTCCTCAGCTGGTCCGCAGTCACTCTAGCTGAGAAGTTGTAGTATTGCATGACGTTTTGGAAGTAAAGCTCTGACACCACACTGAACTAAAAGAGGGAGGAATCAGAAATGATAGGAAACAAATGGAGTTAGGTGTTTTAGACAAAATGAGACATTATGTGATAAATAAAACTTATTGGACATGTAATACAGTTAAACATTTACCTACATCATTGAACACTTTGTCCAGCTTTGTGGCGTTCATGATGAACTCTGGATATCCGACCATGTTGTATATCGCATCTGCCTGTAATAAATAGGATTTATTTTTAACTGTAAAAGACACATTTTCACACCAGGTGGCAGCGCTGTATTTCTCATCCACTTCAGCACAAACAGCTCAACACAACTCACTTCAGATCGATCAACAGCAAAACTTCCTAGGGAAAGAAATACACACCCACCTTTTCTTTCGCTGCTTTTTTTGTCTCCGAGTCCATCCAGCTCACATACTTCAGGCTTTCCTCAAATGCCCATTTAATTTCTGCAACCATATCTTCAGCCTGAAGCGCAGAGTCAGAGACAGTAGGAAAAGTCAGAAGCACATCATCTCACACAGTAGGAGCAGCTATTGTGAGGGAAAGGACTTTGAAGCGAACTTACAATGGCCTTGCTGTCCTCAGCAAAGGTGGCTTTGACAAACATGGCTCCAAGAGCGAAGCCCAGGGCGCTGTCTGTATCGCTGACGCACAGCTTCCAGCGTGGAGTGCAGCTCTGCAACATCAAATGAACACATCAAGGCATGTTTAAGGAAAAATGCCTCCATGCATTTTCTCTTTTTGTTAGATAACATCAGCCAACAGCCTGTTTTTTTTTTGTCCTCACATTTCATTCAACCCATTTCAATTAGTCACTTCCTACATTTCCCAAAATGAACATGACTAATCCCACAAAACATGGGTGGACTTGTTTCGTACGATTCCGCTGTGGGCTCTGTGTGTAGGTGTGGATAACTGTAGTGATAGTGAAGCAGTGAGAGTATGTTTCTACGAGGGCCACGCAGTCTACTAATAGACCACTACTTCTCCTGCAAAGCCCTGTGCTAGTTTTGGTGACCCAGCCAATCTGTTCCTGCTTCTCGCCCAGTGCATGCTGGGATATATACCAACCCCCAACGACTCTGAACAGGATGAGCCAGTGTATAAAACCAATGGGTGGATTTCTCCCTACCTACATTCACTATTGGTTGTATTCCTGCCAGATTTTCTTAATTTGCCATTAAGAAAATCAATACAAAACTGAATCAGTGCAGCCAGTGTTTGGTTTGTCTGTTCTGGGCTACTGTAGGAACATGATGGTTAAACGTGGAACAGGACCCGCTGCCTCTGTAGATAAATAGGTAAAAAAATCACAATGATTCTTATTTTCAGGTGACTAATGAAAATATTATGTTATTTCTGCCAACAGAGCTTCCTAAATGTTACACACAGGACCTTTCTTAACTTTACTCCATTGAGTTGGATAGGGAATTCATGTAACAAAAAAATTCAGCACTAATAGAAACTGTTTGCAATCTTTTTGTGACTTCTGAGCTCAGTGAGGCAAAGCTGAGCCATTATCCCTCTGTGGGCTGAGAGACAAAGTGTTCTCTCTAAAGGACTGAGTGTTTTTTTAAGATAAACAAGGCAACACAACAAGAGGAACCCCCACACACACCGATTCACGGCCTATTTACACTCTAAACTGAAGCTAACCAGTAGAACATCAACAAAAAAAGAAGTGAATAACGGAGACATTTCAAAAAGGAAAAGAGTTTCATTTTGTCCAACAAGTCTTTGTTTTGTTATATTTGTGGGTATGTGTGTGTCTATTTCCTGA